ATATTCTAAAAATTAGAAAAAAAAATAAAAACTTATTATATAGATTTCTAATATTTAAAAGAAAAGAACCAACGATAATAAATCTTTATTTTTACAGAGTAAAAAAATATAACTTCTTTGTTTATAATTAAAAAAAACTAATATTATTTTGTAATCGCCTCTATGTTAAAAAAAATAGAACAATATATAAATATTTCTATGAATTAGATAGACGAAAATTTATTCTTGTACATTCTCTATCATAAATATTAATTATAAATTTTTATTACCTTTCAGTATATTCAATCCAAAAGAAATCCTGTCCAAAACGTTGTCTTTTAACTGTTCCAAATTGTCGAAAAAAATTTACTAAATCCATTGGCGATAAAGTTTTTGGTAAAGGTGAAACACAAAGTGACTTTCCTGATAAATAAGGCTGCTCTTCTTCAAGTGATTTTTGTTCTGAATTTGTTATTTGATATTTTGAGCTCGTGGGGACTTGTTCACTTTTATGTTTGAAAGATTCATTATACGATTGAGAATTCATGTTTTAAAGTTGTGAAAATAATCGTAATTTATTATATTTAATTATGTTTGTTGTTTGATAAAGATTTTATTATTTTTAATTCAAATTTAATGTTTGACCAAGAGCGGTAATCACTTTCAAAAAATATTTTGTTTCAATAAATCCTTTTGAATTTCCGGCACAAAGAACAACACCATTTTCAGATTCAAAAAATATTAAACCATCTTCCTTTGCTTTCCCAAAATTCACATAAATAAAAAGTTCAGCGTTTTGACGTAAACCGTTGATAAAATTTAATCCCTTTGCAAAATGAATATGATTTCTTTTCATACGTGATAGACCTTCTGTTCTTATGTTTGGCCAGTACTTAAAATAGGTGCCATGAATTATGTCAAAGTCTATAAGGTCAAGTATTTTCAAACTCAATTCATTGATCTTGAATATAGAATGTCCTTGATTTGCTTTAATCTCTAAAATACCATTAATAGTCTTAAGAGTAAATCTCTGTTTGTTATTTTCCTTTACTACTCTCTTGATATCGTCAGTAGTATACTGATGTAGTGATTTATTTAATAATTCATTAACTGCAACAAAACCATTTGGTTTAATATTTAAGCCTTTCTTTGTAGCGCCATGACGTAATAGGTACGATAATTTTTTGCTGAGAGCAATATCACTTTTACTCCGAGTCTGAAAACAACATTAATAACATTTGTTAGAGATCATGAATTATATTCAATCCTATTAATTAAATTATTACAAAAATTCTTTTTAAAAAATGCGAATTTTTAAACTCTTTATAGAATATATTCTTTATACAAAGTCTATATAACAAAATTATTATTATTATTATTATTGTTATTACACTGATTTAAAAAATCTGTTAATATATTCATAAAATGTATTAATAATTTCAAAAAATGCTTTTAATTGCTCTGCAGACTTATTCTATAATTCCTTACAGTAATGTCATGATTGTTATATTGTTAAGTTTTTTTATTATGTATACTTTATAATATAACTATAACGATACTGTTAAGACTTAATAATAGAACAGGCTATTCTTTCAATTGCAATTTCAATAGTAATCATATATTAATATTAATTTTATTAGAGATTTACTAATAACTTACAGTAATTTTTACAAAAATAAAATGTTTAGTTATCTTTAACGGAAATACGTAAGATAAATTTTAAAATATATAAATTATAATTATAAAATAAAAAAAAGAGAAAAAAGATAAAAGTTAAAATATAGAAATAATGTGTGTGACATATATTAGATTTATCGACATTTAGATGTTCAACTTAATATTCGTTTTCTCCAAACAGGATTGCATAATTATTCGCTCAATTCAGTTATTAGCTCAATTTATGCAGTCCTAGCACACCAATGACCGTTCAGATATAAATAATAAAAAAAATATAATAAATGTATGTTTTAAAGGCAAAGCAATTAAAAGCAGATCATTGTACATGCTCGCGTAGAAAAGTGTACAAAACATAATGATTTTTTATGTGTAATTTTACATTACCACACGTTAATACCAATATTTATAAAAGTCCACAAATGTCTTTTCTATAATAAATAGTTACATCACGAATCTAACCTTTGAAAACATGAAATTAGCGTAGCTCGCAATCCTCGTAACTTCCACCAAACTAATTGGTTTTCTTCGCACTAATTTAAAGGTATATGTTTAATCTGAGAATTAATAGTATTATATTCGTCACAAATTTATAAAATTTTAGTTAATATCATAACGGCAATAATGGCGTAACATCCCACACACGCATTGGCCGTGAAACAAATTATATCTACGCTTGTTATATGCTCGAAAATGCTGTATCGACTGTACTATCGACTGTATTATCCATGCGTTTTATTTCACTGATTTTCCTAATGTCATTCCAAAGTTAAACACGAGATGGCATATGTGTAGAACACCCTCGTTTTACAAGTATATACATATTGTGTGTGTATTTGCACAACAGATATATAAATTGGAGGTAACACGTCAGAAAATAATAAATTATAGATTTTTAATATCAACAGCGCATATTAAAACACAACCATAGTGCAGTCTTGGCTACAAGTACAATCCTTTCCTCCGAGATTCAAATTGACGTGCATTTGGTGGAACAATCATATATCGAACAGTATCGAGAAATTCAATTTTTAAAAGTTGAAACGATTTTGATATTATTTACAAGAAACTCTAGCTATATATCATATATATAATATTCGATATTCTTTGTTTTAAATTCCTTTTCCATGTATTAAACGAAAAAAAAAAAACTTAACAATTTCATTAATGTTAATAAAATACTTCATTTTTTGACGAATTAATCATCGATTAATTTACAATGAGCAAAATTTAAAGAATAAAAATTGTAAATATATTATTATTGTTAATTTTATCTTTTTTTATATATTAAATAATAAGAAATTAATTCTATGTATACTAATACTGTAGAAATTATTTAACGAGTTAATCAAATTTATTTTAAATATATAATTCACTATCCTCAATCTAATCTCCGTTACATATATGTTAAACAACAAAAAAATTAAGTCTGTTCATATCAAAACATTATTCATGTTGAAATAAAGATTACTTCACGAGTTAACAGACGATTAATTTAATCGGCAGAATTATTCAAAGCAAAATATGTAACCTTTTAAGAAAAAGTAACCTTTTAAAAAACTTCTAGTGTACAAGTCTATGTTTCTAAATATATATATAATTCTTTGTTTTCAAATTAATCTTTTTTTTTGTTTCTTAAACAACAAAATTTCTAATTCTATTCATATTAACAAAATAATATTTTACCTTATCAGTTTTTTACTTTAGTCACATATTTATTAGATTAAAATTCAATTATAATAGACTTTATAAATAAATCCAATTATTAGACAAAAAGAATAAAGACATAAAAGCCAACGATGCAAAAAAATTTATTCTATTATTATTCAAATATATAATTTAAATACAAATGCTTTTGTATTAAATTTTATTGTATATTTACATATTTGACTGATAAAAAGATACTGTTTTTCTCAGTATAACTAGACGACAATTTCACCTATTTCTTTGTTTTTAATAAGACATTTAAATTCCTCTTAGAAATTTAAGAACTTCGTTAAAATCATATCGATTTGATAACGTTGTGAATTACCGTTGTAATTGACATACAATTATTTTTATATAATTTGTAAATTGCTAATATTCATTGCTGATTATTGCTTCTATTATTTTGTCTTTAATGTAACGTTTTTTCAAATTATACTTAAGTAATTAATTATATTTAAGTGTATTTTAATATGACGTGCGCACGTTCATTTTGATATAATAAATACGTTACGTCTTACGCTTTATATAATATAAACATACATTTATTTCTTATTGTAATTATTTGACTGCAGAAAAGATGTACAGTCGAAACGTTCTATGCATTGTATATTAACTAGTTCTTTAATCTCTCTTGACGATTTAATAAATTGGTTTTAATGTTTGATCTATTAATTAAAACTCGTTTGTTCGACTTTTCTACCAATTTACATTGCAATTTTATGTTTAGAAATTGATATTATAATTAATGATTATTTAAAGATAAGTTTAACTACACTTAAAGATTGGCAAATTCTCAAAAACAATATTGATACGATTACATAACATTTCCAAATATATTATACATATATATAATAAAATAATTTTTGAAAAATCTGAGTGTAAAAACTTTGAAACTCTCACAGAAATTTAATATTGAAAGGCATTGATATTAATTATTTTTTTTAATATTAAATTAGCCAGTACTAAAATGCATTTCTAAGAAAAATTATAAAACTTTTGTTTAAATTTGTTCTTCTTATATTTCTCATTCTGACGACATATTTAGAAAAACGTTTATTCTTTCCAAAACGTTTTGCCATCAATAATGGGCGTAAGAGTCTATGAAAAACTATCCCTACTGAAAAAAAATACGTTACACCGTTGCATGATAAAATCACGTAATTAAAACATGTAAATTACGTAATGAATTGTTCCAAATCAGTACATGATTTTAAAATTATGTATTTACGTAAAAGTACGATGATATGTTCCTTTTTCTTTTATTTCTGTTATTCAATTCTTGAAAACTTTCTGTTTGATATAACATCTATATAACTATATCACATGATGGATGAAATTATTTGTAATATTATGTGATTTTTGAAATTACATCATTTTAAAAAATCACGTGATTTAGAACAATCCGTTACGTAATTTACATGTTTTAAATACATGATTTCATTATGTAACTTTGTGACAGGATTTTTTTCAGTAGGAATAAATACATTTGTTTTGGTCTCTTGAGTTTGGTCTCTTTCAGTCATTTTGTTTCCTCTATTTGATCTATATTGGCATGTAAATATCTAAAGGTCATAATCAGAAAAACATAGGTATCTTTTTGGAAGAAAATAAAACGTCTCGAAGCGACAGTCAGTAGTTGATCGCGAATCTAGACACATCGTGAAAATACGTTCGTCGGGAAACGTTTGTATTATTTCGAGAATATGTTTACAAAACATATAAAGGTAACTGCGCAAATTGTTATCGTCTCTTTTAAAACGCGAGGAAATATTACAATTTTTAAAGACTACACTTTACCATCGAATATTTTTCAGTTATATTGTCGCAATTATTATTCATTCGATGCATTATGCCAGATTTGGACATGATTTTACGAAATCACGTAAATCTATACTTTAGAACAAATCCTGTCTATCACGAATTGAATTACTTATCATGAATCGCGTTGTTTTCCAGCTTTTGTTTTCGTGGTGTTAAATAAATGAAACGAAAAAAGATTAGAATACTCAAAATCTACACGTATTCATTCGTGTACGAATGTTCGATAATCGCCATCATATATATGTCGATATTTTTATATCGTGATTCGCGAGTATTCCGGAATATCAAAAATCAACGTAAAAGTAAAATATTAGAGATATTAAATCCAATATTTTGTAACATTTAACGACAATAACGATACATCATCGTTACATCATCGTTGCGCAGATTTTATATATAGTATACCCTAAAACTTTTAAAGTGATTCTGAAGAAATCTCATTTTTAAAATTGAAAATTGAATTACTTTTTTCAAGACTGTTCCAATTTTCAATCTTTAGAGTGAGATTTCATCTCAAAAAATTTAGAGAATGAAAAAGCTGCGCTATAACAATATCATTATTGCCGATAAGAATTAGGAACACAAAATAGAGACCTAAATCGACATTAAAAGGCCGAATCTATAAAAATCAAATTCTCGTTTCCTTAGATCGCACAATTACTGCTTTTGTATTGTGTCATCGTACAAAGTTACGTCGCAACTGAAAATAGATTGCAACAAGACGCTAATTTCTTTCAAGACTTGTGTAATAATATAACAAACAATAATGATAATAAAGAAGGAAAGAATGGTTTAACCGAGTACAACCTATTACCTTTCTTCTTGTTCTCATATAAGTGGAACGTTTCTGATGTCTATCTCTCAAAATCATCTGTCGAAGGCAGAACTTTCAATGAGCATCCACTAGAGGATCAACCTTCAGTACCCGTAGAAAAAAGTGACAATAAAGTGAAAGGTAGAATGATTTTTTGTCATAGAGAGGCACAATATTATTCCATAATGAAAATATTGTATCAAATGTATCTTAATTTATTATATAGGTCGAAAGATAAACGTCAACGTACTCATAAAGCGCATTAAATTGATCGTAACCTACATAAAGAAATTTCAAAAAGATGCAACGAGTGCTGTTATTAATACCCTTGAAAATTTTAAAGAAGATGACTTCGACGAAAACCTTTTGCTTACCTTCGTAATGATGATACATCAATGGACCTCCGATGTAATAGTCTTAAATAATATCGGCAAATCGTATTACGAGAAAATCTTAATGCTTCCAAAAAGATGTACACCCCATCTGGCACAGACTAATTACGCACTGCAAGGTGAGAGAAATTTTTTTATTATAGAGAAGCGCAATTATTGCGTCAAAGTGGAATTCAAAAGAATCTCAATTTTTTATACAGATCGTATAATAATGTCCTCCGATATCATAAGCATCATTAAAATAATCCATAATCAATTACATACAAGGAAATCAAAGGAATTATTGGAGGAAAAGAGCCATACAATGAAACGTAAGAAAAAGATTTTTCGCGTAATATATCACGATAAAATAAAAATATTACTTCATCAAAATATTGATTTTTCATGCAGGTAATTCGACGGCCGAACAGCTCATAAAACTAATTAAATCGATCGTATTTGAATTAAACGAGAAACTAAATTCTGAGGAAACTATAATATCGTCACGTCTCAATGAGGACATAGTCAAACTTCAATTGTTCTCATATAAATGGGTCTTTAATATACGTTATCCAAATATCCGTACAAAATTTGTCAATGAGAACTCCCAGTCTTCATTGAAAAATCAGTCTTCATTGCCCATAAACATGACAGATAAACATGACAACGAACCAACAGGTAAGAGAAAAATTTTTTGCAGTAGAAAAGTACGATATCGCACCAAAATAAATATATTTTTGTACAAAAATCTTGATCCCTTATATAGATCAGCAGAAAAATGCCACAGATGTCTTGAAACGCGAAGGTAGATCGTTGACGATCGATGGAAAGACGATTGATGATTCTACTAAAATGGTGTGCAAATTCAGACAAACCATACACCACTCATTAGAAATGCAGCTATACATTTTCGGACGGATAACACATCAGTGGGTCTCTTATAAGGACTATACTACTGAAGGAAGATCTTTAAATGACTTTCAGCTTCCACTGGAAGATGAATCTTTCTCATTGCCTGTGGAAGAGAGCGGCTGTGAACTGGAAGGTAAAAGAAAGATTTTTTTAGCCATAGAAAGGAACGTTATCACAAAATATCAATATAATCTGCCAATCTATCCAAATCTCGATTTTTTTCATAGATGACGAAATAACCATCAAGGACTTCATGGATGATGTTAAATTAACTAAGCATCAAATAAACGAAAACTTAAAGATATTCGAGGAAACAATGAACACTGATAATGAATCTTCTCAAAAATTACGAAATGCCAGGGAATATATACATGTTAAAAGATCTAACGTTGAATCAATCAACGAATTATTGAATTATCTTCGATTAAAGTACATATTAACGATATATCGGTGGATTTCTAATATAATAATTTACAATACCATTGGCAAAACGTCTCTCAGTCACATCTTTCCATATCTAAGGAAATGTCAACCTATGTTTCCCGTAAAAGAGACCAACGAGCAACTAAAGGGTAAGAGAAAATTTTTTATTTGTCGCGTAATATCAATGTACAATATTTGTTGCGTAATATCAATGCGTAATACAAAGTAGAAATATTATTTCACAAATATCTCGTTCTTTTATAGAATTTGAGGAAATAAGTGATGAAATTATTTATCTCGCCCAGTTGCTCCAGATTGCCTCCACAATTTGAAGATACTTATACAACACATATTGGCGATGAAAATATTATAATATGTTCTTTAAACTGTTTAAACATAATGTACTTTGATTTCTCAAAGTATTTCGTTCAATTTATATATTGCATTTGATATTAAGGATCCACTGGATAATAGTGAATTATCCAGTTATTAGAATTATTGGATTATAGTGAAATGAAAAATGTCAATCATGTGTTTCTTTTCTTTCATCGACAAAAATTTTATTGCATTACTCTATGAAATATATGTCGCGATCTATTTCATTTTATTAACTAAAAATAAGCTAAAAATAATGTAAAAGATGTAATTTATCTAGTTTTATGTATAACTGGAAAATGTAATAAGAATTTATTCAGAAATATTATTCAATCTCAAAATATGATTTAACTGAATTAATTTTTCCACTTATTTGTATTATCATATAAGTCTTGTCATTTATTATTATTGTTATTTTTGATGTATGAGATCCAAAAGATTTATCGTGAACTTGCAACAAAAAAATAAAGAGTTTCTTAGGCTATTATATCTTCGAGGAATGAAGACGAGTAAGAATATCCGAGGTGGTTTGGAATTCCACTCTACGATAGAGAAGAAAAGACGAATCGTTAAAATTAGGAACCCGATTTATCTGACAACGTTATTAGTCGTGTAACTTTCATGCGAAAACTGTATACAATTTATTAAAATTTATAAAAAAATAAAAATTGTATTTACAATTTATGTCTGTAATACAAGATCGAATAGATTATTACTCGCATGTCATTGTCTTGAAGTTAAAATTCTTTATTAATTCATTTGAAGTATTATCAGTAATCTCATGCTATTATTACATATAAAGATAATATAATAATATAATATTCTGAAGAAACATTCATATACGATTTGAAAAGTAGAAAATTGTATTTTAACTTATATTATATTTTAATTGTAACTTCTTCAATTTTATTGGAATAATCAAAATTTTTTTAATTCACATTTTTTAATGCACATTTTGATAAGATCTCAACAGTACAGAACAACATTGCTGCAAGTTTTGTTGAGGGTAATTTATACTCAACAATTAATTTTTCCAAAATTTTGACTATTTTTTAACGTATAAATTATTATGTAATTATATATTAAATCTAAAATCATCGATATAGAATTAAATAATTTCATTATTGATATAGAATTAAATAATTTCATATTTTCAAATTTGATGTACATACATTACAATGTACGCAGAGTCTGAAGGAGTTAATCACGACAGATTGAGCCCGGTCAATCATCTTAGAGGAAATTTTGTTGGATCTTTTATCATCAGAATGAATATTTGAAGTGCATATTTGATATGCATCCATCGACATATGATTTAAACAAATATGGCACAAAAAATTTTCCTCAATATAGGTAGGCGACAATTTTATCTATTTCTTTTCTTTTAACAAGATGCTTTAATTCCTCTCAGAAATTTATATTTGTTGATTTGATAATATTGTGAATTAAAGCTATAGTTGGCTTATATAACTATTTTTATATAATTTGCGAATTGCTAACATCCATTACTGCTTATTGCCTTTGTTATTTTGACTTTAATGTAATGCTTTTTTTGGTCGCAAAAAAAAATTACATTCAAATGATTATATTTTAATACGATGTGCGCATATTCTCATGTTAATACAATAAATACATATTTCATTATCTTTATATAATACGTATATTTATTTTTTAATGTAATTATTTGGCTAAAAAGTTTTAGTATAGTCGAAACGTTCCATACATTGTATATTAATCAGTTGTTTAATTTCTCTTGACGACTTAATAAGTTAATTTTATCTATAAATAGATCTTTAATTATTCGTTTGTTTGAACCTTCTATCAATTTTACATTTGCATTGCAATTTTATATATGCTAAGAAATTGATATTATAATTAAAGATTATTTAAAGATAAGTAACTACATTTAGGCCCAGTTCCACATCATTTAACTCTTAATCGAGGTTCAATGTATTTCTCATCTCTTTCCAATTCTAGAATTGGAAAGTGATAATAAATAAATTGAACTTCAATTTTTAATTGTTTAAGTTAAGAATTTACCTTGAATTATGAAAATGGGTCTTAAAGATTGACAAATTCTCAAAAACAATTATTATTTAATAATTGATACAATTACAGAACATATTCAAATATACATATATATAGATAATATAATAATTTTTTAAAAAACTGAGCATAAAATAACTTTGAAATCTCTCATAGAAATTTAATATTGGAAGACATTGATATTAATTATTTTTTTTTATATTAAATTAATCAATACTAAATTGGATTTCTAAAGGAAATTATAAAACTTTTACTTAAATTTATTTTTCTTATATTTCTTCCGTTCTAACATATTTAGAGAAACATTTATTATTTTTCTCAAAATGTGTTGTCTTCTGTAAGACTGTTCATAACAACCTATAAAAAACTCTAAACACAATATCTTGGTCGTTTGTTTTAATCCCTTTGTTTTGATCTATACTAGCATGTAAGTATTCAAAGGTCAACAAAATCAGGAAAACGTATCTCCTTGTAAGAAAGCAAAACATCTCGAAATGAGACACATCAGTTAATAATCGATCGCGAACCTAGACACATCGTGAAAATACATTCGTCGGGGAACGTTTGTACTATTTCAGAAATATGTTCACAAAACATATAAAGGTATGTAATCGTGCAAACGTCGTCGTGATTCTCTTTTAAAACGCGAGTAAATATTACAATCTTAAATAACTACATTTCACCATCAGATATTTTTCACTTGTCGCGATTGTCCGTTTGATGCATTATGCCCGATTGAACATGATTTTTTACGTTATTGTTGTAAATCTGTACTATAGAATGCAAGTCTCGTACATCAGTGAATCGTGTCGGTTTTAGTCTGTTTCCGTTTTCATGGGATTTGAAAAACGGAACGAAAAAAGCCTAGAATACTTAGAATCTACACTCGTGTTCTATAATTTTCATCATATATATTTTCATATCATAAGTAATTAGCGAGTATTCCAGAATATCATAAAAATAAAATATTAGTAATATTTTAAACCCATTCTGTAACGCTTAACGACAGTAACGATCGTTGAGCGGATTTTAAAGTATTCCCTAAAACTTTTAGAGTAATTCTCGTTCTAAAGAGTAAAATCTTATTTTTAAGGATTGAAAATTGAACTACTTTTTTTCAAGACTATTCCAATTTTCAATTTTTAGAATGAGATTTTATCTCAAAGAATTCAGAGATGAAAAAGCTGCGCTATGACCATATAACGATGTCATTATTGTCGATAAGAATTAGGAACACAAAATAGAGACCTAGATCGACAATAAAAGGCCTTATGAATTTATAAAAATTGCGTTCTCATTTCTTTAGATCGCGCAATTATTGCTTTTGTACTGTGTCGTCGTACAAAGTTATGTCATACCTGAAAATAGATCGCTGACCAAAGATGGTAATTCCTTTCAAGATTTGTATAATATTAATGAGGAAACCGAGAGATTCAGGATTACATTCGGGATCAATCTATATTCCTTCTTCTGGTTATCATATAAGTGGAGCAGTTCTATATCCTATTCAAACAACAGAGAAAGATCTTTTAATGAGTATCCGCTGAAAGATCAATATTCAGTGCCCGTAGAAAAAAGAGACATAGACAAAAGAATAGGAGGTAAGAGAGAATGATTTTTGTGTCGCGATATTACGCTATGAAAATATTATTTCATATGTATCTTGATTTTTTACGTAGATCAAATGACCCCCACCAAAATTATAGAGCACATTGAGTTAATCACATCCCAGTTAAAGGAATTTAATAAAATTTTAATGATAAAGAATGCTACTAAATCCTCCCAAAACTTGACCAAAGATACCGAGACACATCTATTACGGTTCGTAATAATGGTATATCAATGGATCTCCGATGTAATGGTCCAAAATATTCTCGGCAAATTATACCACAAGCATCTCTTAGAGCTTCGAGAGAAATGTATGCCGAACCCTGAGGGCTACACACACGGTGAGAGAAATTTTTTGTCGTAGAGGAGTGCAATATTGTATCAAAGAAAAATTTTTTCATAAGAATCTCAATCTTTTGCAGGTCAAATAATAAATCCTTCCGATATTATAAACGAGATCAGAACGATCCATGACAAGTTACGTGAAGAATCAAAGGATTTATTCGAGAAAACGGAATTATCAAGAATGACCAGCGCTCTCCTTCTTGCTATTAATTCGATCGTATCTGATTTAAATGAGAGACTAAAATCTGAGGATGCTGTAATATCGTTAAATCTCAATATCAACCTATGCGAGTTTCAATTTGTTGCATATCAATGGGCCCTTCGTATACGTTACCCGAATATTTACAAGAATCCTGTCGATAAGAACTCCCAGCCTCCATTGGAAGGTCAATCTTCATCGCCAATGGAAAAAAATTACAACGGACCGACAGGTAAGAGAAAAATTATTTGCGATGAGAGAAATGAGCGATATCACACCAAAATAAAATATTATTATACAAAAATATTGATCTCTTGATCGATATAGATAAGAATAATACCGCAGATGTTTTGGAGCATGAGAATAAGTCATCGACCGAAGGCATCGATGTTTCTACTGAAAGTGTATACAAATCCAAACAAATCATACGTTACACATTAGAAATGCAGCTATTCATTTTCTCACAGATAACACAAGAGTGGTTTTCTTATGGTTTTCTATTTATGCACGGTACCCTTGAAGGAAGATCTTTTAATGATTTTCAGCTTCCACTGGATGATCAGCCTTTCTCATTGCCCTTGAAAGAGAGCGGCTATGAACTGGAAGGTGAGATAGACTTTTGGCCGTAGAGATGCACGATATCATGTCAAAATAAAAATATTATTTCACAAATACCTCGATTTTTTTAGATGATGAGGAAATAACCATCAAGGACTTCATGGACAACGTTAAATTGACTAAACGTCTAGTAAACGAAAACTTAAAAGCATCCGAGAAAATTACAATAGGCACAGATAAGAATTTCTTTAAAAAATTAGAGAATCGCACACATATCAAAAGATCCACCTTTGAAAAAGAGAACAGAATCAAGCACTTAGAATCCCTTCGAGTAAAGTACATATTGACGATATATCGGTGGATTTCTAATATAATAATTTTCAATACCATTGGCGGAACGTCTTTCAGTGACTTCTTTCCACATCTACAAGATTGTCAATCTATGTTTCCTATGAAAAAGATGCAGGAGCAACTACATGGTAAGAGAAAATTTTTTATTTGTCGCGCAATATCAATACAAAGTAGAAATATTATTTTGCAAATATGTCGTTCTTTTTTCACAGAATTTGAGATAATAAGTAAGGAAATTATACATCTCACCAAGTTGCTCCAGACTGCCTCTAAAATTTGAGGAAACTTATACAACGCATACTGGCGACGAAAATAATATATTCTTTAAACAGTTTAAACATAACAATATTTCAAAGTATTCAAAATATTTTGTTCTATTTATATATTGCGTTTGATATTAAAGATCCATTACTGCGATTATTGGATTATAGTCAAAGAAGTGAAAAATCGTTTCTTTTCTTCCATCGATATAAATAAATTTATCAATTTATTGCATTAATCTATGAAATATATGTCGCGGTCTATTTTATTTTATGAACTAAAAACAAGCATGTAAAGGATGCAATTTATCTAGTTTTATGTACATCTGGAAGATATAATAAAAATTTATTCAGAAATATTTAATCTCAAAATCTGATTTAACCGAATTAGCTTTTTTGCTTATTTATATTATCATTTATATGTAGATCTTTGTCACTTGTTATTGTTTATTTCGTTATACAAGATTCATCATGTAACTAACTTGCAAGACAAAGAGAACCTAAGCAGAACAACGACATTATGATGTCAAAATGATCATCAAAAGTTTTCAATCATTTTCAATTCATTTTAATATCATTTTGACATTATCGTGACTTGTTGTTCTGCTTGGATATTATATCTTTGAAGCATGAAGACGAATAACAATATCTGAAGTGATTTGGAATTCAACCCTACAACAGGAAAAAGAATGAATCTTCTAAAATTAATAAGAACCCGAATATCTGACAACGATCTCTTCTGTCTCTCGGCAATGAAATTCGTTATCTCTGACAACATTATTAATCGTGTAACTTTCGTACGATAACTGTATACAATTAATTAGTTAAAAAAACTTATATTTACAATTTGTTTTCATAGCATAATCGGGTTATTACTCACATATCATTAAAATTAAAATTGAAATTGAAATTCTTCATTAAATTTTTCGTTTGAAGTATTCTTAGTAATCTCATGCTATTATTTCATACAAAGATAACCTAATAAAATAATATTCTGAAAAAGCACTTGTATATAATTTAAAAAGTATATACCTTAAAAGTATTTATACCTTAAAATATTAATATATCTTAAATTAATATACCTTAGAAATTAATATACCCCTAAAAAATTGACAATATATGTGTATGTTTAATAAAGATTGAATTTTTTAAAAGTCTCTATAGTTGCTAGAGACTTTAATATATATAGGACGAGATACTATTAAATGTCAACCATGGACAAATTTACGGCGGTATAAAAAGGGCCCGGAAGTAATTGAAGAACGTTGACATTTGATACAAATTTATTATTATTAACATAAATATTTGGCTCACATTACTACATTATTAAATTCATGATTTTTTATTACATAAATGTTCCATAAATAAATATGCGTACTTGTAAATTTAAAAAAAAAATCGAGTATTATTGAGTTATAAATGCATAATTACATCTACTAAACTAATAAATCATAAAATTAATACAATATTATATCAATTTTTGACTCTTCACTTTAATATTCACAAGGAAGCGAACTTTCGTAAGGATGTCGATCTTTAATACAAGTAGTATCTCATCGGTAATATAAGTAATTGATACATATATAGAGTGAATCAGAGTCGTTGAACTAGCTTTTTATCTTATGAAAAAATAATTGCATACGTTATAATTCAATTAGATATGAAGTCGATAATTTTTTCATAGGTAAAAAGTTAATTCAATAACTCTGATTCACCCTGTATAATTATATAGAAACTTTGATACATATTATAATAATTATGTTTGGTAAAAATGATCTAAAAATTTGCATAAAGAAACATAACTTCATAATTTTCTAAGATATTATGAAATAAATATTATAAAACAAAATTCACTAAATTAACTTGTTTGGATTTTCAATTTCGTTTATTAAAATTCAACAATTTTTATTTACATATATACAAAATGCAAAATTAAAATTTTTTCATTCAAGGATTCATTAAACTAGTCTTCCTATGAATAGTCGGCACACTTCTATCCTGAGGATTTAGTACAGAGGCGAACCATATCTACTTTCGACAATTCGATTTTATCGATAGTATCAAAAAATGTATAAATGTCACGTAGTTCTCAAACTGAAAATGGATGTAGTGGCAGTAGTGTACAGGCGATTTTGATGATAAAAAACTGACAAGAAAAAAGATTGGCCTCCTCAGGTTTTTTTTCTGCTAGTAATATCACCAACGAGATATTAAAGACCATGCTGAAAGGATTGTCAATCCCTTCCACCATGATTAATTAAAGACCGACATCTTTACGAGAGTCCGCGTCTTTGTAAATATTGTGAAGTGATTAATAGTTAAAAATTGATAATATTGAAAATTTATGATTTATTAGTTTAGTAAACGTATTTACGCATTTAGAACACTCAATAATACTTGATTTTTTTTTTAAATTGTGATTTCAGTGTTATCATCAAAGTTTGATTATCAAGATGATAAATGCAAAGAAAAAATTATAATTTTTCTGCAATATATAGGATATTATAACTTTACAAGTATACATATTTATTTACGGAATATTTATATAATAAAAATCATGAATTTAATAATGTATGAGTCAAATATTTATGTTAACAATGGCAAATTTATATCAATTATCGATAATGTCAGCATTCTTCAATTACCTCCGAAGCCTTGGGGCTCTTTTTATACCGAAAATTTGGATTGATGGTCTTTAATAGTATCTCGTCGGTGGTAACATTAATTACACACTTATTCTTAAATTTTGATCAAATCCTTATATAATATAAAAAGACTAAAGAACTTTTTTAAGAAGTATCGGTATTTATTGATTCATAACGTCTCAAGATAGAACTTAAGACGATCTTAAATATAAGAACTTATCATGAACCGGCTTTAGGCTTCTGTTTTTTCTCAAATTCACTTCCTTTAAGCATTACAAATTGAATAAAAATATAAAGCTTTATAAAAGTATAAAGCGGAATCTTCGAATTTCGAATTGGCGAAAGTTAAATAACGCGCGCGAGAATCGACAATAATCGATTATCCCGTCGTGCCTCGCGCGAGCAATTTCACGGTGATAACTGCGCACTCTTCTCCTCGAGAATGTCGAACGCGTCTAAAATCACTTTCGGTTTATGTTGCATGACGTCCGTCGGAATAATAGGCTACGTGCATTACAAGCAGTCTTACGACAGGTAGATACCGTGTTGAAAGACGTTTCGCCGTCCTCACAACTAACATTGAATTGAAAAAACGTTTCAGGCAGCAGCTACACTTGGGTGTGATACGCGATATCGAACGACGAGAGCGCCGAAAGGCAGAAAATGTCTACATTCTGCAGCAGCAAGCCGAGTTAGCCAAGAAACTGCGCAGGCAAGAGACACTACGAAAGAACGATACGTGACGATTAATGCGCGTAGTTGTTAGTCTGTTACTCGAGCATTTTCATAAGGAATAAAAGAGCCGTGTGTAAAGTATCTCGTTCGGTCATTTCACTCCATTTTGTATGCGCGTCGAGTATTCGTTGAAGCGTCCTTCCTTCGGAAAACACTTGAGTAAATTTACAGCTTTCTCACGTGAGCGTTATGGCAACTGATGAAGCAGCGGATCAATCGGGTAAGTTTGATGCTTTGCTCCATAAAACGAAATGCATAAAAGTACTTGTCATTTTGGAGTGCTTTTGTCTCTGTTACATATACATATTGGGGTTATAATCATACAACACAAAGACATTGAAGTGTATTATTAACGTTGCTTCTTTAAATGATTTTAATTTATTACTTTGTAGACAATTTTTTAACACTTAGTCATTATAATTATATATGCTGATTTTTTAAGGAAAAAAAGTCGATGTTGTATCTAAATCATTGTTGTATTCAGTTCGTTCTTATTTTAAGACTTAATATTTGAACTACAAGAATCGACCATGAATACCAGTTTGTTGTTGCAAAATTTTACTATATGTATTAAATACTTACATTTTATATGCTGTTTTATTTATTTGTTGAGCTTTTATTTTATGTAATAAAATAGAATAAAATATTTAAGTTTAAATTGATTATATGCAGCTTTATTCTTATATCTAAAATAGTACACATTAATCTTTGTGCTTTTATATTTACTAACTTTATTAATTGAATTTGAAATTAGACAGATTACATATATATATATATATAAAAGTATTTCAACTGCAAAGAAAATAAAAATAGTTAACTCTTGTTTTATAGACTTGTCTTGCATAGAGGAGAGTCTCATGAGTCTAGAGAAATTGGATAGAGCATCTCCTGATTTATGGCCTGAGCAGAGTGAGTAAATTTTTTAAGGATCATTTATGAGTCATGTATACACAATACATCATATATGTAGCGAGCAATGAAGTTCCAGGTGTACATGAGTTTGTTGCTCAAAATTCACCGCAGACAGAACCATGTTTTTGGGCTGCGATGTCGCAGGATGACATAAGCCATGTGCATCGTGAGTTGATATGCTGCATAACATATAATTCTTCATCTCATTGCTAAATACCGTAAAATATTTTCTTGCAGAACTGGGTAATTTGTCAATGACCGGGCTTATCTCGGAAGTGAAAAGACTGCACGATTTAGCTTATCAACTGGGTCTAGAAGAGGCTAAGGAAATGACACGCGGCAAATATTTGAATATATTTAAACATAAATAATTAATTTTAGATTTGCAAAAAATAAAATTCATAAAAATGCAGTACTATAATCGGCATTCTTAAGAAACGTTTCGAGACGTTTTTTTATATTTTTCTAACTTTAAGAATTTTCTAAAATCCACTTTGTGTATCTCTGTACATTTACAAATGCAGATGGAAAAATGGTGCTTGAGTCACAACTAGACCCAAATGATAGGATTCCAACCTGATTAAAAAATAAAAAATGAAAAACATAAATATGTGAACTACGTCTGTAGTATATGTAAATATTTATGTTGATAACATACCAAGAAATATATGTCCGCATATTTGTATAACAGAGGACTACCGCTGTAACTTGAGCAAGGTTCACAGTTTCCTTTGGCGCATAATTCAACAGATAGAGCTTGGCTTATATAGTCCGAGCACTGCTGCTTAGGTACGAGTTCTAGTTGTAATGACTGTTGCGTCAATGGTTGCGCTGGATCACAGGGTTACAGCACTTGAACGTTACATAAACACAGCTTACAGTTTATGCTTTATGATAGTTTGTTCTATTAATACCTTTTTGACCTAACAATTTTCCCCAGCCGACAACAGTGCATGTACTTCCTAGGCTGACGTATCTGTCTTCCGGTATAAAGCAGATTGGTTGAGCTGTGGCTGAAGAAGACCGGATTGCTATTTCCTCCCATATTGAGGCTGTGATCATCACAGTATCTTCGACTGTATATTTAAGAACTGTACATACCTGTAAATTCGATAGCCTTCTTCAAGCGAAGTAAGGCAACGTTGTTGGAATAACTTGCGGCGTTGTAGCCCGGATGTTTTACTACATACGATATGTCGTGGCTACTGATTTTGTGTCCGCAAAACAAATTATTACAATCTGGATTCGACTCTGTATTATATTCACCAATAAGCACAGAGCATCTAAAGATAAATAAGGATTATTATAATTACTGCATGCTACAATTTAATGCTACGATCGAAAATATGAGTAACGATCATTCGTTATATTTTATTTTCGACTGCTATATACGTACAATTTGTATCTGTCCGATTTCGCGAGTGCGCATGTAGCTGTAGTCAATACAGTACGCTCATTAACAATCACGCCATTGCACGAGTATTTGATCTCACCCGTTAATGTATCTAAAAGCGAATTCTTGCTAACAGTCTGAAAACGCATGTCTTATATAATAAAAGAAATATAGTTAACTTTCTCTCTTTCTCATCCTTTGAACAAAATTGTATATAATTTTTGCTGTGTACATAATGTCACAGAAATTCTTTGTCTTACATTTTCATTGATAAATTTGGAACCAATTATCAGTACTTTTAATATCATCAATGAAAAATTGATGATTTTTTACAGCTGTGTTATAATTTGGAGACAATTAATTTCTGGGACATTCTGTATATTACACAATTTCTGTATAATACAAATATTTCCGTATACATGCAAAGTACTTGCTTATGAAACCGATTCTTGCGACAAAAGGATATGATCCTAAAGTGTTTATGTTACTTCGAACAATACTTCTTCCACACTGAAAATTTGAAGATAGTTGCGTCGGATATACATCTAGATTTCTATCTGGATGTACTGGCCGTTCGATGTAACTATTAACGCTGCAGCAAATTTTTACATGTGTTCGATCGTACCCGCATACCGCTTGTCGTAATCTGCGCTTAAAAAATCGACGTGTGTAAATATGTACTCGTCCCTTCGATATAAAAAGATAATAATCATGTTACCTGTGAGAGGAAAGCGCGTTTTGATCCATTAGGGATACAACCCCCGGGCAGTACTCGATGAACACGCACTTTTGATTATTAGGACAAGAAAGAGAATTATTTTGACATATGGTATCGTATTGATACCAAGGATTGTCGCACAGCTCCGAAGTTACGATTGGCAGTAAAAGCAGTAGCAACAGGCAGCACATTTTCTGGATATAAATGCAAACGAGATGGTCACACGACGAGAATAAAAGTTTGCTAGTTCCGTATAAGTGGTGATCTCGACGTTGTCAGTTGACTTCGAATAGCGAAATCTAATAAAACGACTCTTTTCATAAAAGGAATATAGCAGCTCGGTCGACTTTTTAAAGAGATTATCGTTCTCTCTCAGATTCTTTTTCTGAAAATCGTGTCTATATATAAATCGTTTTCTATATAGAAGACACGCGACGGATTAGATCTCGTCAGTTTCGTATTCGCGACTAACATCGTCTGTACCGGATGATGAACTGATTTCGTTGCATCGCGCATCTGTATACGATAATTTCGTTTCTCTGGGTTACCTTGACTAGAGCATTATTCGCACATCCGGCGGAACTATGATAATCACGCGAAAAAGCAAACGTATTATGTGATTAACTGCGTTACCTAGATTTCTTGAGAAGACAATAGAGGGTTGATGTAATTATTTTTATGTGAACTAAATTTAAATTATCTAATTAAAACGCAGTATTTAGATTTTTTTGGTTTTTTTTTGTTTTTGTTTAAACGCTATGAATCCACACACATCGTAGCAGTATTATTATTTAATAGGTTTGAATTAAAAGAAAATACGTGTTTATATTTCTACTTTTAAAGTAATGAAAAAACTAAGAATGGATATTTTGAAAGATATTTACATCTTTTTATTAGATATTGCTTAATTACATGGCCCACTTTGTGTATAAAATTTATTAATATTCATACAACACGTAACTGTAAATAAAATCAGAAGCAAAATAATAAGTTATTAAGTACTATTTGTATAAAAACTGATTTGTTCGAATTATTGTGCACTATGAATTAATGTGCATTAATAAACTTTAGTTTGTACATTTTTTTTTCAATTCTTGCGCTAACAGGAAATAGGAAAGATTTTAACAATGTGAATTTCGTCTTTCGTTCCATTCGATCGCGGTTTCGATGATACCGGACGATCGGACGAAATCGACAGCAACGATATTGGCAGTGCTTTGCCATTTGCTGTTATACCAATTTGTAACGTTGATATTAACATTTTCCGCCATTTGGCGGATACTTCCAAGCCGGTTTAAAATTACATCCCACGTATTGGGTGTTAATTCTGCCATCGCCGATCTTGGTATTGATCTAGGTTGTCTGAAATGAGAATCGCCAGATTGACAAAATTAAAATTTGCGCTGAGCATGTATTTGAAATACTTTTATTTAAAAAACAATATTTGTAAAACAATTGTATTTTATATTTTAACGGAGCACATGAAAATAAGTTTGTATTTTGTATTTCATAAGAGTATATAAAAGTTTTGTATTTTGCATTTCAAATACTAAGATTGACAATCAATCTTATTATTCTAAAATACAAAAAACTTTCAATTTTTCAATTTTAAGTACAAAATATGTAATACTTTTATGTGCTTCGTGGAAATACATTGTATTGCAAATACTGTGTTTTAAATAAGTATTTTAAATACATGCCCAGCTCTAAATTTATTTTTATATATCTATATTTATATCTCATGTTATACAGAGATAAAGAGCAAAATTAAAGATCTTTTTTTTTATATACCCAGCTAACAATTGAGACTTTTAAAAACTTAATAGGTTCAGCCATTATTAAGATCTAATAGATTCTAGATGAACTAAGCGTATTAAGATACACGTCTGTCATACTTGACTTGAAACAATACCTCTCAAGTAGCGAAAATACTTATAAAATCAAAAGTAGATCTAATTAAATAAGAGAAATCCTATATTCAATCGGATCTTATTGCTTAAATATTTCTATCTGACTTTATATATATATCTCATTCTACAAACCTCGCGCTGAAATCTTTTTCGATCTTGAAACGCAGTTACGAGTAGAATCAGAGTAGTAATATTACTTTTTAAATTGACAAACATTTTAACAATTTTTGATGCTAATAAGCATCTTTATAAAAATATGTTATTAATGATTAACGAGAATATTAAATTTGCGAATAATTTATTGCGAAAAACATTGCCTGATTCGAAATTATCACAAAAATAGATATGATGAAAAGAATGGTCTTGGATAGTTTAGGACTACTTAGTATTTGGCTTTATACAAGATTCACATACCCAAGACTTTCCGTTTCGATGCGATTCAAATGGTTGAACAAGTCTTCGATAGTCCTAACATTTCCCCATTGATGTGTTACACAAGGCCATATACTTTCATAACGACTGACGACTCGTCTCTCATCATAACCAATAATAAGTCTTTTCCCGGATGACCAGATTGTATTTAGCGTACTGGCCCACCCGTAACTCTTCGACAAGTAGTACCCGGCGAATTGTTCCTCGAGGAATGCAACGAAGTCGTGATGTATCGCCAGATTTTTTCCGAAGCCTAACAACACCATCAACATATATTTTCATATAAATAATAAAATTATTATTTATAGATATAATTTACATAATTTATATAATAATTTATATAAGTCCTAGCTACAACTTGCATAATCTTGCTGTTGTTATTGTCATTAATTGAGTAGTGATAAATCACATCATGATGTAATGTTAGCCTTGTGTTTTGTCTTTATATTTCATTTATAATATTCATAATATTCACTGTGCTCGTTTCGATTCGATACGAAACAAACAAGATTGTAGATAGGATTAGTTCCGATAATGATAATTAAGTCAGATAATAAGTAAGGCATTTTAGAATCTAATATGATTTTCGAATGTGACGAATGGCTCTTATAATTTAATTCACTAATTCTCAAAATCCATTAATTTTTGTTTTTTGTTTATTATATAAAATTTTACACTAAATTAATCTTTTGCATCAATGGCATTTTTAATGTAAGAGTATTGCGAATGAATTCAACACGGCATTTTGGCATAACAGTATTTCAAATGTATTTTAAAAGCACATGTATTTTAAAGAGCATAGAAAAGAATGTTGTATTCATGGCTGTACTATTTTTGCCTGAATAAGAGTTGTTGGCCGTTCGTTTTAACGCTAAAATATATTACCAACTGGAAATTCCTGGATGTCGAATATTACGATCTCGTTCGTCTTGTCGAGGAAGGTCTTCACCTGATTTATGATGGTCTGCATAGGAACAGTTCTGAATACTCCATGATTCGCCCACCACACCGAATTAGTATTGGGGTAATGTCCGACTCTGATGTCGAGATATCTAACTCCGTAGATCAATTGCGCGAGCACGTCTACATCCTGCAGTTTAATTATCCTAACGATTACCAGCAACGGTTATTCCATATTTAATTCTTATCTGACTTTAATGCGTAAGCTCTCTTTAATGTAGCTCGAATATTTTCACCAATTAAGCTTGATCTACAATGTTCCTTGCTTCCTGTTTCTTTTTACTTTTTGCCTTTTATTCTGTTTCTTTGTTTCTTATTGCTCGAGATAAAAGTTAACTTCGGAAGAGACAAGCAATATTTGTCAATAAAACGGTCGCAAAGAGGGAAAAAGCAAGCAATAAAAAGCAAGAAATAGGAAGCAAAGAGCATATCGTAGATTAAACTTTATTCGAGCGTGACAAGCATTTTATTATTTGAATCAAAAAGAAGTCTCGAATCAATTTTGCATCTATTTGAATTCAATCTATTTTAATTGAAAGGAAATCTCGAATCAATTTTGAATCAAACTGATGTAGAAATAGAGATTTTGTAGTCATGCGACTTCTGATTCGGAATCAATATAGATGCAACGAGATAAACTTGTAGATTATCTGATTTATTTACGCAAATATTCAATGATTTAGTTTGTATTATTAATTCAGAATTTACCTGCGTTATCACATATTTCTCGACGATATTCTCGGAGTTCGCTCGTTCGTGTATCGCGTAAGACGCAGAATCGTGAGTACCGGGTAAGAATACCCTGCTCATCGGCAGTGATCCTAAGATAGTCCTCTTCTCCGACATCCAGTGAGGCTGTGTTTGCAGACAATTTGTCATTCTTACCGTGTCATTTCTCAGCCAAGCAACATGGTACTCTATTAAAACGAAATTCTGTGTTAAGCTCGGATATATGTAAACTATCAAAATATATGACAAGAAAAAAATAATAGACCAAATATAAGTAACCTTTGGACTGTTTCTTGAAAAATAATTTAGTTCTTGCAATAAATTCAGATGGACAAAACAATATTTTTTGTGCATTACAAATATAAATATATGAAAGGATTTTTATAATTTGAAAATTATGCTCGAGACTCGCTGTATATATTTGTCTGAAAATATTTACAATATCTTTTTGTACTTATATTTACTATTTATATATATATAAGACAGGAAAAATTATGTTGTAAAAATAAGTAGTTACTAATTCTAAAAAATAATTCGTTAGATACTATTCTTAGTGTTCAAAAAGTAATGCCCAATTTTTTCCTCTATAGATAACCTTATCCATATATGTCAGATTACAATAGAGATATCTCCTGGATAAGATATATCTGCAACTTATCTAGAAGTGAAGAAATTGGGCAATAAGTCAACAAATTTTTTAATGTTAAGACATGACTAATTAATAATAAAACAAATTTATATTTCTAAAAGAAATTTTGTTGGAATATTGATGAAAACAATATAATTTTGATTGTTTAATTTACAAACCTACAAAGAAAAAACTTTAAAAGGATACTGTAAATACAAAGTTCATAAAATTTCATTAAATTCGTACTTTTTTGTATCATGAATTTTATGATAAATCTTGATTTATCAATTTATATCTATTTATGAATTAAATCTGTTTTTAACAGATAAAAATCTATAATCACACATCTGGATAAGAATATAAACTCTATAAATTTTTATTTTAAAAAAGTTAACATTCGATCATCAACATCATAAAAACGATTTTTCTGTATGGAGCCTACGAATATATATGGAAAAATAGATTTCAAATGTACAAAGTATAAAGAAAAAGGAAAAATTTTTTCATGCATGAATATATATAAATATGTATAAACATACATAAACATATATAATTATATATAAAACATGTTCATCTTTCTTTTGTTCAATTTTACTTTTTAGTATAATAAAAATAATAATGAGAAAACATCAAAAATAATTAAAGGGACAATTTTCGTATTGTTTGTTTTAGAAAAAAATCAAGTTTAGAAAAATGTAAAAAAATTGCTCGTAACATAATTATTATAACATACTTGATTAATAATCTATATCAAAATTATGTAATTGCGATGTGTGTATATATGTCACGTACGTACGTAGGCATTGCTGAACGAACGTGAGATTCGAGGTGGGAACAAACGTAGCTTGCAATCCGGTCCTCTTTATACCACTCGGTGCGTTTGGTATCAGGGTATAAATTGGCTCGAGGCCGTTCGTGGGCTCGCCCGTGTAAAGAGCGATCGTATCGCCCGGTCGATACCTGGCGTGATTCCAATAAATCTCGATCTCCCGTATCATTCGAATGGACATTATAGGCGATATAATCAAGCCGACATGCGCGCGTTGGAAATCTGAAATGAGGAACAGGTGTTTCGATGCAAGGACACTCGGTAATGAACGTGCTTGTCGCAATAAGTTCAATGACAATAATCTCTTTGTCGAAAAAAAAAACTGGAGCAATTATTGCTTCGCGTAACGAAAACATGCATTAACATGATTGCATAAGTCATAATAAAAACATTTCCTCATATCAATATGTAAACTAACTTTAATTTCAATTTAACTTACTTTTTATAATTCTAAATATTAGAAAAAGATAAAGAATAAATTAAACTGAGATTAAAGTTAATCTACATAAATAAACATTAATTATAAAATTCATCAATCTTGATATTTATATTTAATAAATCGCCATGACGATCCGATCGATTTATATATTGCATTTCTTATTAAAGTTTGGTTTATTATATTAGGTATCACTGTTGTTACACTGTGATTTTAAAACTTACCGTCTCCCGTCTCTGGACCACAAAATCTCGTAGTCAACAGGCAATCGACAATCGTTAACCAAGAGAAAAGGGCGGGAACTATCGCAAGTAGCTTCATCTTCGAGTTAGCGCGGGAGGATCGTAGTAAATAATATTTATCTGCCTCTTCTCGAGCCGTTGACATTCTTCTCGGTCTTCTCAATCGTTTCAATTCTTTCCACGAAGCCAACTACAGACTGCAAAAGACGTCAGCCTTCATCTTCCAATTCGATTTATTGTACAACTCTCACGAAAGAATATAAGAAATTATCACCGTTAGGAAATTCACGACGTATTTACAAATGCAAACAGTTTTAATAAACAAGAAATCACGTATGCATTTGACGTATCAAATTATTGATGTAATAAAAGTAAAAATGATAATTAACAGTTGATTCTTACTCATGTAAATTAAAAATAACAACGTTTATCTTTTTTCTAGAAAATGGATAACCCGATTTTGTGATTGAGAAAAACTTTCATTTAAGAATCTGTAATCTTTAATCAATTTTATATAAATTCTTATCATGTGATTTTGAAAGAAGACATTTATCTAGAATTAAAAAATTACGAAGGCTGTTCGAAATTATCAAATTACATGACTTTCCTGCAACAATAAGTTAAGAAAAGATTTTGATGAGATGATCAAATGAGCGTATTTACTGATACTCGCTCGTCAGGCGCGATGCAATAACAATCGGAAAATAGTTGATCGCGTGAGTCGTAGTTCCTCGAGTCTTCTCGTGATTCGACGCGCTGGTACCTCTCTCCGTTGATAGATCGTAACTGATCGTCGTACCAAGTGCGACTAAGTCAAGTTGTGCAAGTTCAAGAACGTGAATGTGGCGAACGCAATGACAGAATCATAAGGCCGGCCACACACGTTCAGGTAAACTTGTCGCAGTTGTAACTATATATACACACACACACACACACACACACACACACACACACACACATATATATATATATATATACAAAAGAAAGCAGTTTGCAATCACACAAAAGTTCAAGTAAACTTGCACAATTGCTTACACAAACATACTTACTTGAGTGGCCGTTCTTACGATGTCGTCATTGCGGTCGCTACATTCGCACTAAGGAAAACCATCGGCATTTATTATGATCATTGACTGTTTATCTCTTTATCCTGTCATCTAATCGTTACTCATTACGCAAGTTATTTTTTTGCCCTCTTTTATATCAATGTATTTCATATATGTCGCTTTTGAAGAAAAGTTTCCAACCTTGCCCCGCTCCGTAAATTTGTTTAACATATCACATTTCTTATCTGGTATGAAGGTAATTAATTAAACGAATAATGATGAAATTCTCTTCTTAAAATTTCTATTTAAATTTCTTTTCTTCGTTTAAAATTTCTTTTCTTCTTAAAATTTCTGTTTAAGAATTTTTAAATAATTATCTTTGCGCGAGTTGAAGAAATCAAAACAATAAAATAAAGAAATTTAGGACGTCCCCCTTGGTCATCTTTTAATCTGAGAATCTACCTACGCAACATGATTGATCTCGATTAAGATCGTTGAATCTCGAGGGGGAGAGGTGGAAGGAGCCCCTTCCGTTCAGAAAATTAACGCGATGATATTTCCACGTGCTGCCAACACCAAGTCGATGTTGACTGGCGAGAAGTGGAAGACAGAAGGGTGGCGGGAGAGAAAAGGAGAAGGGAGACCAGAAGATATCTTACCATGAATTTACCGCGAAGAAATCGACTCGGCTTGACTTTGAATCGGCTTGACTTCTCGATCATCCGTTCTTCTTGTTCTCTTAACATCGGACTAATGCGTAGTTGTTTTCGTAATAATCGACGATGGACGCACAAAAAAAAAAAGCTGACTCACAATGTTACCGCGCCGATGCGTGAAACTATGCAGCGTGATTCGATATCACGCGAACTTCAACGACGGAGGCGACGGCGGCGGCGGCGGCGGCGGCGGCGGCGACGGCGGCGGCGGCGACGACGATGAGATTCTCCACCACAAGCATGGCTTTTGCATACGTGACACGGCAAAAACGTTTCTTTCTCGGAAGAGACAGCAGGATGTTGTAAGCGGGGTGAACACTGTAGCGGTGATATAATTAAAGGCCGCTAACAGAGAAAAAAGAAAGAAAGGAAGAAAGAAAGAGAGGGAGGAACAGAGCCCTCATCGAGGGGTAGCCGCTGGTATCAAAGGCTCTCTTGAAAAGAAGAAATGTTAGGAAGGCACGCGAAAAGAAGAAAATAAAAGAATAAAAAAGAAAGAAAAAAAAACGAGAATGAGAGACTGTAGAAGGGAAAGAAGCAAGAAAAAGCGAAAAGAAAAGATTAAGAAAGGGAAGGAGAAAACGAACTTGCTGTATACTTATATATATTTATTTGCGACATAACATAGAGCCGCATGAGCTGCAATCTTTATATTATTCTTCTTTCTATAGCGAACGTATATTATACTTATACTTATTAAAGTACATTGAGAATTCAGCTGAGTTATACTCTAAGAAAATAAATTTTTATGACATTTTTATTTTAATTTTGTAGTCCTTTTTAGTTTGTCTTTTCTCTTTTCGAATTAATACTACGAATTAATAAAATTTCTTTAAGATGTTATGTAAGAAATAACTTAATCTTCTCTAGTAAAGATTCGTTAACTCATAAACTAAAATTACGAATTTTGATAAAAAAAATACTAGGACATTTTCTTAATTCTTAAATAGTAAAATAACTGGCAATAATTTTATTTTTTTTCCAATCTTATTTTTTTACATTATAGTTCTATTCATATAGATTAATTATATTTATGTTGTGTTTAAATATTGCAATTTTTTATACAATTAAAAACTTTAGAATTTTTTTAAGACTGTAATGGGTCTCAAGAACTCATATGTTCCTTTAACGTCACAAAAAATGTGTTCGTATTACAATAAATTAATAGGCAATATGATTTCCCCTAAGACATAGGTAATGTCAATTGTCATTTCACTGCATCCAGAGCATTATCAGTTTAGAGTATAATAATAGCTCGCGATGCACGATTATACATAAGTGCTTTTCCATCGAGTGAGTCGCTGGTATGCGAAAGCCGTTAAGCAAAAAGTGTTAAACAGACCTTGAAACATATTCCAATCGTAAATTTAACGCTAATGAAAATACAAGTCTACTACGTCTTCTTGTATTCGTAAATTATCTTCAAATATTACCTAATTCATGAAACTAAAGTATCCTTTTAATAAAAAACAAATTTCTTGTCTAATCCTTTTTTAGGGAAGAGATCAATATTTACTGTATTGTATATACTGTATCATTGCCTTTTTTGCATAATATATTTTTGTAGCATTTTTGTTGACGTATCTAATTAAAATTTTTTAAAAGTAAACCATTCGCTTTCATAACCGAAAATTTTTTAACTATTCTCGAAATTCTTTAGTTCACGAAAATCTCATTTTTTTCATTCATAACTCCGTTTAATACATAAAAAAATAATTATAAATTAATCAGAGAAGTCATCATTAAATCCTGGTTGGCATATTCTATATAGGAAGTGGTGACACATTTTAAAAGATGATTGCATAAATATTATATTCTACAATTGATTGAAGGAGAAATTAGAAACGCTTCCTGAAGTACTTAATCAAGATTAATGCGGAAGAAGACGAAAGTGAAAGCGAAGAACAAATAATACACTTGTAAATTCGCAAATTCTCAATATCACTACAAGTTCAATCTTTTGAACAATAATATGCGTTTATTCGTTTTATTCCTCTTGATTCTCGAAAATATTGAAAAAAAAAACACGAAATTATTATCTCCAAACATTTGTAGAATGCAAATAATTGATAAATTAAATATGCATAAATTAGAATTTTTTTATTATTTATATTTAATCCTAAAGAGTAGTGCATTTTCATATATGAATTCTCTATATATGGATTCTCGAAGCAGGTGTTAGCCTAGTCATTTCGCACTCCTTCACTCACAATCTTCAATCAATCTTTTATAAAACCCGACGCATACATGGAACACATAAGAGGGTCGAGATCAAATCCGAGACCCGTCGACTACTACTCGACCGCTTTCACACGGAGACACGCGTCACCTTCACAATACAAAGTAGTATTATATTTAACATACGTGACGTGGCAACGAGAAGTTCGATGAATATCATGAGAAAGTAAATATTTCTTAATTAATATACAAATAATCTTTATAGCTCTTCAAAATAATTCCCTCTACAGACATTACACTTCTGACAATGTTTGTTCTAACAATGACAGCTTATGGAAACTCTGTGACAACAAAAATTTAAGACGATATCCAAAGATGACTTTTCGTAGAGTTTCCATAAGCTGTACAAACAAGCTGTTGTCAGAGAAGTGTACTGTCTATAAGAGGGATTACTTTGGAGGACAATAAAAGCCATTTGTATATTAATTAAGTGGTGGTATACTAAAATATGTCTGAATATCGCATCAAAACGCAGAGAACTAATGCAAAATGATACGAGAAGTTTTTTTGCAGTTATTCATGTATCACTAGCAAAAAAATGAATCACTTACGTACCTGCTAATCGGCTTCGTTAAAGATCACTATAAAGTTGACACTGGTGAAACATAGATAACCTTCGTTACAGAAAATTTTCGCACGCACGTTTGTTAGCTATATATAGAAAATAATCCTGACTCTTTCATCAGCGACTGTTAGTCTCCGGTGTGAACACGCACATCGAAAATGAAAGCGGAAACGGGGGCGTACGGTGTACAATGCGTAGCGTTTGCTCCGCTTGTATTGCGCTTACGTAAAAGAATTGCTGCGCAGAGAGAGAGCGTTATTCATTTCCGCTACCGCGATCATTGTCGGATGATTGTCGTACAGTAAAAACATATTGCAGGATTATCACGAAACATAGCTGTGCCACTTGCAAACAATAGAAAATTCTATGCAAGTTTTATAAATAAAGAACATAATAGAAAAGAGAATCAATGATAGGAATACATAACGTTATTTCTTTGCGTGAATATCAAATGTGAATATCACATGGAACAATTAAATTATTATGATAACATTACAATGCTGAAAAATTTTGTTTTTTGACTTGTGGAAAAGCTGCTCTGATTTGAATCGATAAAAAATCGATCGTTTTAATTTACAAGTATATGCAGCAAATTATTATGTACGTGGAACATATAGTGACCCTGAGAATAATTTAAAAAATAGTATATTCTAAAAAAATCTTCAATGAATTCATATCTATAAACAAGATTAAGAAGCAATGAACTCTGTCAATATTTTATTTCCAAATATAAATAAGTCTTATACCATGTAAATTAAAGCTATAAAATTAAATTTGAAAAATTCTTTGAAAAAATAAAAATAATATAACAAGAAACTTTAATAAATTCCAAGGATTCTTATGTTCCTTTAGTGTGAAAAAAATTGAGTTCCTGTTACGGATGAAAAATGATTGTTTCTTGAACAGTTTCATGAAGACGCAATATGTCTATCATATCGTTGACAAGTATTGATGTTCTGTTTCATGCTATTAGTTTTACCAAGGGATGTGGAAGGTGAGAAGATCTAAAGAAACGCAATTGTGACATTCTTCGGGTTTTTCTCATCTCCTTTATTTTACAAAACTGAAAAAAAGAAAACTTCTGCGAGAGTAACAAACTTTTGGCTTATGTGACTAGTTGTAATACTTAGCGGCAATACTAAATTAGTGCAGTGTAAGTATGTACATTTGTGTTTACAGTGTTCGACTGCGGGAAACCACGCAGGCTCAGTTTACAGAGCGATTACAGCTTCGACGATAATTTTTATCCTAGTACAAGACTTCATTATGAAGTTTCTATGTGATAAAGAAGAAACGTCAATTTTTTTTTAATCTTTCGTTCGCACGGAGAGCGTCAAGCGAAGAATTAATACAAGAAAGGATAAAATACGCGAGTAAAATCGATAAATCTCGTCCTCGTAATTTCTCCGTCCATATATGCTGCAATTAATTGTTCTAATCTAAAGATATATCAGAATTCAATAACAAGTTACGCGCACCGTTGGTCTTAACGCGAGCGCATGAAATTTCGATATACATGAAACACACGCTCTCACTCAGCATACTCTGTACATGTCATCGATTCCCGATCACTGGTACGCATCTCTCAAAGATAGTGAATAATTTAACTTACGGTATATAGATACGTAAATGTTATACTACTTTAGGATAATGTTTGTTGTAGTCTCTCTCGTGGAAGACGCAGGTATGGCAGGATTTTCATTCCCTTC